TGTGGCAGGGGACAAAACAGCTGCCTTGGGGAAAGTATCTTAATATCTGTCTGTCCCCATGTTCTTCTTCTCAAACCCTGCCTCCTCTGCTCTAGCTGCTCATGCCATGGAGATCATAGCCTGCCTGTGCTCCTCCTGCTGCTAGGCAGTCATGGGATCCGTGGCTACTGATTGTGCAGGAGGTCAGAATCAGCCTGTGGGCAGGGGGTTCTAAGAGCTCAGTGACAGTGTCTGAGTGAAGCCATTGTGGGTGGGTGGCTTCTCAGCTCTGTGGCCACCAGCCACTGCTGCTCCCTCCTGACATGACTCTCAGCATCTGTCCATACTCCAGATTGTCAGGAGTGGAGATGCCTGGCTTGCTTTCAGCCCCCTTGGATACAAAGGCTCTCCACCTGCAGCAGTGAGGGCAAGAGGCAGCTCTGGCATTTGCAGTGACTGTACTCAAGCACTGTTTGTTGTCTCTTTTACTTTGATTTTTCTTCAGATATCACCCAGGCCATGCAAGACATCGCCAGTGTAAAGCCCAGACAAAAAGCCCTGACAAAGAAAATTGCCAGGAAAAAGGAGCTGATGTCAAGAGACATAACCGACAGTCACTCGCCTGAAAGAATGTACGAAAGAACTCTGGAAGGTTTTGACCAAGATCAGATGGAGTTTAGGCACGAAGGCTCAGTCAGGTGTGAACCTGAGCAGGAAGGACCAGAATTTGATGAGAAAGAAATGGGCCCAGAGGACGTACCTGACGGAGCCCAGATAAGCAAAGCCTTTGATAAATTGTGTAACATTGTGAGGGAGAAAATAAGAGTCTACAAGAGACCAGAGGCTAAGCCTGATGCCCATCCCAAAGGGCGTTACGTGCTGGTGACAGGGGAGGAAGGCCGTGAAGAACCGTGCATCTTGGCCCCCTCTATCCCGCCTGGGGGAGGGATCACAGTTTCCACTGGCAACGGGAAGGTGATGAATGGTGGTGACGTGGAGCCCATACCAGAGCTGCCAGAGCCTGCTGAACCATCTGAAAAAGAGAAAGGGGAAATCTGTGAAAGGAGAGAAGAGTTTGAAATCCCAGATAAACAGAGAGAGGAGGGGAAAGAAGACGTGCTTGAATGGGGGAAAAAAGCAAGAGGAAAAATTGAGCAAATTGCAAAGTACCCGGACATCTCTGAGCCTGAGCCAGCTCCTTCCCCCGGTCTGATAAGCCCAACTGAGCCAGGACTCCTTCGAGAGGCAGAATATGAGCGAGAAGATAAGCAGGGCCTTTTGTTCAGGGAGGCAGCCTTACCTGGCTCTATGAGCTATGAGAAGGTGGAGGTGGTGGAGTCCATTGAGAAGTTTTCAGATGACAGAATTCAGACGTACGAAGAGACAGCAATGATTGTCGAGACAATGATAGAGAAAACAAGCAAGAAGAAACCAGGTGACAAAGGCTCCTAAGTGACACATACCCTCTGATAGTCGACTTGTCTGGCATAGTTATTAAATGACTGTGTTTTTTTCCTGACCGAATGATACAGTAGTGAGATTTTTGCTGTTTGGTATGGAACAGATTGAAACCTTGATGGCAATTCTGTCTGATGTAGGCTCACCTTTGGTGCAACAACCATTAGCACTCTCCAGGGCACATCCTATGCAACTGATTTTCATGATTAAGACACATGGAAAGTAATTATTATGACAGAGCTGCCTGGCTTTCCACAGTATCCGGGACAAATTTGCATATTCCTCTACTGCTCCCATAACTGCTGTACGACCCCCCATCTTTGAGACAGCTGCAAATGTCAACTTGTCACATCTGGTTCATTTAATAAAAGTTTTGCCTTCTACTGAAGATTGTCACTGTGGGTTTATTTTGCCTCTAACATTGACTCACAGTTGCTACTTGTAAACATCACATGAGTGGTGTGCAGGAGTTTTCCAGGGAAAGGGCTGGATACCTCTTAAATAACCTGTTCCAAATATCTCCCCCTTTCAGTGACTTTAAATAGCAATGAGCTTGGCAGACCTTTCTTTTTGGAAATAAAGACAAATTTCCTGTATTCAAAATATGTTCTTACTGCAGATCTTCTCAGAATAAAATTCCCTGAGATATCCCTTATAAAAGCTACTATTTGTCCTTCCCCAACACAACTAATTTACTTATGAATGCCAACGAGCATTTTGAGCAGACTGCAGCCAAAGACTGTGTGTTTAGGTATTTTCTTAAGTATTTCTTTGGACTGCAGAGTTTAATACTGCCACAGGACCCTGTCTCACTCCTGTTACTTGCAGTCACACAGAGCTCCACAGGATTGTTGGAATAAGCAGTGCCTTTCCACCTCCCCATGCCTGGGGAAGCAAAAAGCAGCACTTGCAGCAGCAACAGCTTCTTGCAGCACCCAGAAACCTTCAACTCAAGAAAACAAACAAACAAAAACACAAAGAAAAAATCAGGGGAAGGAAATCTTTCTCTTGTATGTGTGTAAATAGTGAGCTCAACTTCCAAGTGCTCATACACCAGTCAGGCCTCAGCTTGACTCCAGGCACAAAAATGATCCCACTAAAGCCCAAGACTTACTGAAGGGCATTACTAGATTAGTCTCGACACATTTCTTGTCCAATCCCAGTTCTCTAAGTTTTCATTTCAGCTTCCAGCATTGCTGTGCCTTTTCTTTCTGCCTGTTAACTCCTGTCAGCTGCAGCAAGGCAGGGCTAGAAGCCATTTGAGCTGACAAGCCTGAGCTTCAGGGCTAACCTCTTCATTAAATGCAGATTCTCAATGAAGTGTTTAAGTGTTAAAGTTTTACGGTGAAATAGTTGCAAGTATCTATTCAAGAAGAGACTGGAATGAGTCTCAGGTTACTTCAGGCACATTCTCACTTCTGAGGCAACCAGAACTATATCAGGAGGTTCCCTGCCAGACTGTACAGCTGCAGACATGGCAGGACATTATAAAATGAAATGTACTTTCTGCCATGGGAACACAGGAGCTAAAATGTACTGAAAAGGTATGGATGGGAAGTAGAGATGAAAAAGGAAACGGGGTTTAATGTGGTGGGTCAAAGTGCTCCAAACAGCAGAGGAAAAAAATCTGCTACAGCATTTCTTTGGGACCACAGCTGCTTATGAGCTGCAGTGCAAAACTGTCACAGTCTCAACTCCTGAGCATCCTCCTGCCAATGCAGCTCAGCCCCTGCACTGCTGCTGCCTTTGCAGAGCTGACCTTGGAGCCAATGGCTTCAAACCATGTAAATAATGCCATGCAAATTAAAAAAAAAAAGCTCCTCCCAGCCTGTGGCTTGGATCTTGTATGTGCCAGATTTTCAGAGAGTTAACATAAAGCACTTTACTCTTTATCTCCTGCTATCAACTCTTTTGGAGTATCTTTATCTTCTCTGTGTCCAGTTTATGCAGGATACACATTTCTTTACCAGTGTAAAAAGCAGAGAAGTAGGAAGTCATCCTAGTGAGAGCAGCATCTTACCTCCCGTGTACCCTCAGATAAGCAATGATGATAGGACCTGCTAGTTTGTAACAGCTCTTTATTTTACTGATATTATAAAACATCATCACAGGGCTCACCTGTTTTGCATCATGAGCTTAATTTTCCCTTTTATTATAAATACTGACAAATTAAGTTTATTTTCCATCAGCAATACCATAAAAACTCAGTCTAACTGGACATATTTTTCAGTGATCCCTTGAAGTGAAAATCCCCAAGGATTTGAAGTAGATCTCTGTATTGTATATAAATGTAGTTTTATATATATAATTATATCAAAATTCACTATTTCTGTATATTACTCATTATTTTGATTTTTCAATTACTAAATTATGCCAGCATTATGAAAATATGGACAGCCATCTAGTTATTTTGCTGCTTTATAAGATATTTAATAATTGAACAGACAATTGCAAAATTACATGAATGCAATGGAAAGTCATGTACATGTTCATTTAAGAATTCCACATGGACTTTTCTTATTCCAAAACTTTTTCACATTTTTAGAAGTCCAGTAAAAACTTTCAGTAACCTCTTTCTTTGATCACATACACACAGAAAGTTACGATGTATGTGTATTATACCTTACATACCATATGTAATTCTAGACATATTTATATGCAAATATATGTAATGTACTCTGAATATATATATTGTATGTTATATATATAAAATTATATATATATATAAATTATATATATATAATTTTTATATATATAATTTTATATATATATATATATATATATATATATATATATATATATATATATATATATATATATACACAGGTGTATGCATAAATATATGTATGGTAAATTTTTCTGATGGGATTGCTGCACACAGTGAGAAACCTGTGAGTAGTGTGAGGCTGCTTGGCTTGGGTTTAGAGTGTAATTTGCATCGATTTTGAGCAGGTTGAGATGTTTGTTTTTCATCTGGAAAAGGAAAGAACAGGCCTCTCATGGAAAAATAAAAGATGGATAGTCTCTTGAATTAACATTATTCTTATACATTCTTAAGTGAAACATGTCCACCACAGAACCTTTGGGTTATGTTTTTAATTTGTTAGATAAATATTTACTTACTGATTGCATTTCTACTACTGTGCACCAGATCAACCAGAACAACTCTTATTAAAACATCTTAGATTAATACTCTGCATATTAAAAATACATAATAAAATTCTGAAACTAGTTACTGCTAAAATGTAGATCTTGGATCCGGAAAAGATCTGAAATACCTGCTTAAAATTACCATTTGAGTAGGTTCACTGATGGGCTTTAGTGCAAGTGCCTAAATATTTGCAGAATCAAGACCCTTTATTTCTCCAAGGTTAAATTTGGGATCTCACACCTGAGAACATGGAGTGGTTGCTTCCATCAGTAATTCCCACCTGGGAGAATGTTATGTTTTGCAGCAATAGCCAGAGCATACTCTGAGGGTGAGAGAGATGGACTTTAACTCACGTCCGAAAAGTCAAGGTGGGACCGACTTTAAACAGCAAAGAACAATGACTGCCAAGAAATCTTCCCAAATATACTACATTTTATTTTTCAAGAAGGCCAACTTTGCATTACACTTTAATAACTTCAGCATATTTTTCTCCTTAAATATATTTGTATAACATAATACCAGCAAATATATAGCTTTAAAAAAAGAAATAAATTAAAAATTGCTTTGGGACTGAACCTGCGTGCTTCAAATTTCCCCCACAGCACTTTACTGGCAGCTGGGTTGTGAACCCCAGAAAACAGGTGTCTGTGGTTGGTAATGCTGACACAGCCTCATTTTACAGTGCTGGAGAATATCTCAGTAGAGAGACCAGCAGATGCACACAAGCTGCCAGAAATCCTCATCCCTATGTGCTTGTTCTGTTCTAAGATGGTAAATTGATTTAAATTGTCAAAATTACAAAACAAAGGAAAAAAAACCACCCAACAACAAAAATCCCCCAAAAACACACAGGAAAAGAACCCCCAAAACAACCAAACTAAAAAAACTCCAGTAAAACTGGGACTTGTGCTTCTAGAAGGCCCTGACCCGGTTTGCAAATCACTTCTCCCTGCCACCCAGCTTTGGCATCACTTTGCCTTCCTTATTGCATATCTGCTGATCCATCCTGTAGCTGAAGTATGTAGTGTAACTGTAGTATGAAATAAAACTCTCAAAATAATTCTATTTCTGCAAATTGGATTAGTGAATTTCCCTTACCTCTGGATTATTTCTTTTTGTGGGGTCTAGTGCTACTTTGGTTGAACCCAATGGAGAAAGTCCCACTGAAGTCAGCGATGCAGAAAGAGCATGTTCAAAGACCTCTCCAGACAACCTCTCGGTGATTCCCTCTCTCACAGTAATTTTTTTAAAATGTGCTCATTATCACCAACTTCCAGTGTTAAAATTCACTCTTCTTTTAATACAAACATTTTCCACAGAAATATGAAGGGAAAAGCCATTAACTTCTTTGCAGGTTATTACCTATTTGTCTGACACAAAAGAAAAATCATAATTTACAGTCACAAACTGTACATAGTATTTGGTAGGAGTATATTTTGTGGTTTAGAGATTAAAAAATGGACTGCTTCAGTGGCAATTAAAATAATTATAGACAAGACATAAGACTTTAAAATCAAGAAAGGGTGATAATTTGTCTACAGAGACAATCATTGTAATACGTCTAACACAGAGGTTTGGATAGTAGAACGGTGAGTAGAGGGGTCTGGGGAAGGAAAGACACCGTCATGCAACACAGCACTAGTTCTTGCTCAGTATACTCTTCAGGCTTCTCTCCACTGCTTCATCTAACTCTTCTTCCAGCTCTTCCTTCTTGGACATGGCCAGTTTGGACTGATAATCTTTTACGATTTGGTCTATATACGGTGCACTCTGAGTCCCGTGCAGCATCAGTGTCCACTCCTTCAGCACACCCCGCTGGGGCTGGCTGCCAACAAACCCAATCTCCAGAGCCCAGGTGCCTCGGGGGTCTTCTCCCCAAGTGTGAGTCGTCATGAAAGGCCATTTGTCAAAACCCACCTTGGAGTCATCATCCCTGGGGCGCCGGCTCAGCAAAATGGACTTTGTTCCCATTGGTGAGGTCATGTTGATGTTGAGGTCTCCTCGCCGAGTGGAATTCACAGTTATGACTGCCTGAACATGTTCAAGGTACCGGACAAAGTTCTCCTTCCCCTCACACGCATCAGTTGTCAGTGTGAGGAACAGTTTGCCACTTGGTGGTATCTTTCTGTGGGTCAAAAGACAATTAAGTAATTAAAACAGTACAATATGGCTTATGCTAAAACTACTGGGTTCTAGTGCCTCGCAGAAAAACACTGTATTATTTTCTTTATTCATACATGAAGAGGTAAGGAAATAATAGTTGCAAACTTAGCCAGAAAGTGAATGTTCTCCTTTTAGAAAATTATACCAAAACTTTAATTTGAAAATAATTATGAAATATACACCTACACAAAGAGACAAGTAATACAATTTTAGAAGCACATACTGCTCTTTAAGGACTAACATTAATGGTTGTCTTTACTTACTTACCTTTACTTTACTCCTATATTGGGTAATTTAATAATAATATGCATGTTCAGTAAAAGAACCATGAGTAGTCAGTCGTGTCAGCTTCCTTAAATGACAGCAGCAAATGGCTCTCTACTGTTGGAGGAACCAATTGCACAGAATTTCAGTGCAGTCACATTAAAGCCTATCTCCTTGTTCTGCTTTGGAAGCCGCCACAAATGTGGGACCTTAGAGTCGGCTCATTTGGAAAATACTTTTCCATGAAGATTTCCATCCTCAAACAGTTCCTGTACATGAGCACACACACCAAGGAAAGAAGTTGCACGCGTTTATTAAGTTGCCGAAGTGCTGTCTGGCCTGGGAGCTGAGGATGTAAAGTGCCTTCTAAACCCGTTGGGGTCAGGATGCAACTTCAATTACCCACTGCCTCAGAAACTGGCTGGCAAAATACATAGAAAGTGTAAAAAACGCTCTACATCTTCACCACCAGTGTTCTGCAAGCAGTGTGACATTTTCCTCTGTCTAAAAGAAATAATAGAAAGACAAGAATTACAGCAATCATTAAAAAAGGGACCAAGTCTCAAAAGACTCCAGCCACCTTGTAATTATCTTGTCTTCCAGTGGATTCTCCCTGACCTCAGCTGTACAGTCAAATTGAGTCTTTTGAAGGGCATTGACTACACTGTGGTAATGAATACCTTCTTTTCAAAAGAAATCAGTACCAGCTTTTTCTGTCTGCTAATGAAATACTGTGTTCTTTAGAGACCAGTGAAAGCATTTCACTCAAGCCTAGCTTCCAGGAATTCTTTTTTTTCTTGAGATGAGCTCCAGAAATTACACTTGGTACATCATTAAGTGTCTCAGGACAGTCTCTGTCCCTTTTCATAGAGTATTACCTTCTTGGAAGTACCTGCAGAGCAAAACATCATTCAGATCCAGGTCCTCAAGGCATTTGAACACTTTCCTTAAACTGAAAAAAACTGTGCTTTTTCACAATAACATAAATATTGTACAGCTAAAATATTTGAGCATCTAATATAATACCCTTGAGATACTTAATGTGCTGAAGCACGAGAAAAATGCACTACATGCAGACAGAGGTGAAGGATTGTAATTTCACAGTTGCCACGTGCTTGCGGTTTCTCTGCATGGGAAACCTCAATCTCAACTCAATCAGAACTCATGTTGTCTCACAGCCTTTTCATACAGTGGACAAAGCTTTGTCAAACACTACTTCATTCCCAGATATGTGGTAAGTGTTTTATCTCCTCCAGTTAATGAGGAGGGACATCATAGTGTGAGTCTTTTCTTCCTGTCAAGGCTAAAGCCCAAAAAAACAAGAGCAATGTGTTCCCACTACTTCTGCCCTGCAGAAGTTCTCTCAGCTCTCTAAAAACATGAGAAAAGGCTTCCTCTATTTTCCCCTTTCCTATTAATTAGGATCTAATAGTCTCTGCTCCACTAGATTAATGACTATAGTCCAGGTGAATTTTCCTAAAGAAACAAAAAGAACCAGGGGTGGTGGAAAAAAAACACACACAAAGGAGCAGAAGAGAAAACGGATTTTCCACAGCATTACCATGTGCCACTGCACATGTGTGGCAGAGTGTGTGTGTGTGTGGGTATATATATACACACATATATATATATAGTGTATCCATGGCATAGATGTCCTGTGGGAGATTATATTTAGTATATCCATTTTTGCATGTGTAGTACCTAGTGAGAGATGAGCAGGGGGAGCTCCTGTTTGCTCCTGTTCCTCAGCTAATGTACTACAATGTCTTAAAACTTTGTATTTCCCTAAACCAGCCAGAACTCTTGCCAGGAAAAGTTCCTATTGCTAACAAATGGTTTTATTTCAATTACTGATTGCTTTCAGCACACAGTATATTATGTCTGTTAGTTATTTCCTGACCTTCTGCTTAATTGACAATGCTGCTCTGAAACACACCTCCATATCAACTACTCACCTTCATAAATCTATATTAAATGCATATTTTGTGTATACAAATATCTATACTTAAATAAGAATATAGAGAATATATATAGAAAATGTTGCTTCAGCAAACCAAACTGAAAGAATAACCCAATTATCCACAGCAGACATGCAGAGTAGAAGTGCAGAGTTTTCAATTCCAAGGAATCTCTGGAGATGATGGGACTTAGCTATCTTTTTTTATTTTTACAATGCAATTCAAAAAACCTACATGTTGCACTTCATAATGCTTATTATCTCCTGCCAGTGATATTTTCATTGGGGAACACAAATATTACAGCAGTGCTGTTAATATATAGCTGTGTCAGGCAATTGACAGGGGGGCACCCTTACAGCCTACAGAAAGAAATGTTCTCTCCTCCTCTAGGATGATCCCCTTAGCAATAAATGGAGCTGCCCTAAGATAGATGAGATTATTATCCAGTTAATTATTACTAAACTAGAGATATTTTAAAAATAGCTTTGGCATTCTCATTTGGTTTTTTACCTGTGAGTATGCATAGGACAGATAAATTAAAACTCAGAGCTCAGCTGTAGGATCTTGAATCATGCAAATTCAATCTGCAAGGCTGGGGAAAAACTCACTCTTTTCCTGGCTGAGTTTTGTGCTAGGATGGCATCCTAGTTTATTTTCTTTTTTCCAACAAACATCCTAGTTTGTTTTCTTTTTCTATTTTCCAAGTAATAATATTGCCTTCAAAAATGGCAGTGAAATGTCAAAATTCAAATGGTATAGATATAATCTAGGTCATTATTAGGTTAGTATTTCAATTACTTAAATTAAACTAAAGCTGTTGTTGTCAATTAGTATTAATTCATTCACTTGTTGACTCATTCACTTTAGCACATAAATGAAAATCAGAAAATAATCTGACTACCTACCCTGCAATTAGAGATCTGAAGAGCTTAAAGCAAGTGCAATTAAATGTTGTAGTGGTCAAACCATATCACCGGTACCTGCAGATGATTGTTTCAGTCTTCTGGAGATAAAATTGTCTGCTGAAGAATCTCACAATGAGATATGACCTGGCTGATAGATATTTCATGTGGCAGCAGTTTATATAATTTACAGTGCCAGTCTCCCAGATTTCATCTGGGGATAGGCTCTTTATTTACAGAAACTTTAGCACAAATATACCTGTGAGTGCCCAGGAGAAATGGATGTTGTTATTAACACTACTGGCACTAGCAGTGAGGGTACAGATGTGCTATAGAATGTACTGCTCGCCAGGAACTGAAAGATTATATAATTTCATCAAGCATTGTTGATAAAAAATGTTTTATCTACTTAATACTGGTAATGTTAGGGTTTCTTAGGAAAAAAAAACCCTCATTAAATTTCTTTAACTGTCTATGTCAACATAATTGTATGCTTGCAGTCTCCCAGATGCCTGGGAGAAGCCAAATACCATCCACTAGAATATTCACTTACTCAGGTTCCTGTATTGACCCCCCAACACAATGGAATCTCTCAGGAACAGTCTTCCAGTCTTTTGCCATCTTAACCATTGCTCCTGCATCTAGGACACCGTAGCCAAACAAATGGTTGAACTCCAGCCCAACGCCATTCCTCCGCCACCTGTGAACCTCATCGTGGAGCTGGTTCCTCTTGGAGGTGAGCACTGTCAGATGCTGCATGTCTCTCCATGTCAGATGTGAGCTATGGAAGAGCAACACGAGAAACAAACATTACTGTGTTTCCAAGCAGATCTCAAAAAAAAATAAAAAAATAAAAAAAATCTGTTTGGGTAAAGCTTTGGGTAAAATTTGCTTCTGTGAATAACACTGAAATTGTAACTACACATATATCAATAATAAAGCTTCTATTGATCTCAGTGGGAACAAGAATAGGTTTGAATTATATAGTACTTTTCCAAATATGTTCTCCAAAATTGCAAAATCATTTCTGATTAAAAAACACTTATTTTAACTAGACATTATAGATCCAACATGCAATTCTTAAACTAATAAAATGATTAAGAGATTATACCAGATACTGAGAGAAATATAAAAAATTCAAAGATGATAAAAATATTTCACCTAGCTTTCCTCTTGGATCTTGCCCCCTTTTTCTTGCCTGCTCCTCCTGCTTTTCCCTTGGACCTTCCAAGATCCACCCTGAGAAGCCCTAATCTGATGAAGCTGATGAGCTCTAGTGACCCAGCTGTTAGTAATGTCAGGATTCTGTGAATATGGATATATGGGCTGTGGGTGGCTGCAGCTTTGCAGTATAGTACAGGAGAGGTTTTTCACCCATGTTGTATTAGCATGGATGGATGCATTCACGTAATATTTGCCTAGCTGCAATGGTTAGCTTTCATCATCTTCTCTTGTCTTCCTAGATGTACAGTGATTATGATAACAGGAGGGGCACTTATTATTCTAAAAAGCTTTAGAACTGACATTCTAATTCTACATAACTACAACTATTCCAGTTGTTTTATGATGAACTCTTTCAACATCACAATATGTCTGATTCAAACTATCAGCCTAAAAGGATCTGCTTTTTAGCTTTCTGTGCCCCAAGAAATAAGCATGTGTGCATGCTGAATGTACACCAGAGTAGCCAATTACCGTTGTTCCCCCAAGGTGACACAAGAGAGCTGAAAAGAAGATACCACTTGCATCATTCTTATTGAAATCTTCTAAGAGGTTGCTACGTATCTTAAAGCTGTACTTTCTATTTCATAGATTGGTCTGGCTTGAGAGACATGTCAGTCCTATATTGTGTATGAGCTGGCAGACATAATGCAGGCAAGAACAGGCTTCATGAAAGATCATCAGTGATTCCTGGGAAGGCTCATCCAGCATAGCTCTGCAAAATACAATTCAATACAGCCAGAAGGATACAGGAGACACTGACAGTTCCTTCTCTCTCTTGCCGCCTTCTCAGCAAAGCCTAGAAATTCTAGTGCAAGCCAGGGGCATTAAGTCTAATTCCTATTCATGATAATTTGGCAGAATAATTCCAGTCTTTTTGGGTAGCTCAGATGAAGAAGAATGATAATTATTACTGAGATATTTAGGTTCCAGTCCAGTTTAAACATTCAGTGGTCAGAAAATTCATTAAACATTTATATTTTTGTTTGCCATATTAATATTTTACATAGTGGCTGTCCCACTGAATGAATTTCATAGTAGAAGGAATGATCATCCCAAGCTAAACATTTGACATATATTTTACATGTATAAAACCTGGAAAATGAGACTTGGACCAAGTCATGTTCTGAGCATGATAGTCATTGCTCTGCTAAGGTAAACTTGGCCTCCTCTCACAAATCTCCTTTATTCTGCACTGCTGAAGGAAACTGCACACAGTACTCACTTCATGCTGTGGTTACAGCAACTGAAACTCTGCAACTATACAAATGTTGCCTCAGTTCATGTAAAGTAAAGAGGTGGTGTAAGTTATTGTAAGGAAAACTTTTGCTAATCAGTTGAGAAGAAGATAATGACTCCAAGATATTAAAAAGGTTCCAGTGCCAGAAATACCATAGAGATGGTAAATAGACAATGGATATTTATTCCTTTGTGTAACAGAGCAATTACACAGCACAGGAGAAAGCTACCAGCAATGGGTTAAGAAAACATTCCACACCACCATTGCCAAAAAAATATTGAGGAACTGAATGTTACTGGATGACCTAGGTGCCAAATAGAGACAATTTGAAAAAGAGTTAGATAACTTCAAGGAAGATCACTCTGCCTGTGGCTTTTAAACAGGAGAGACCCACTGCTGTCTCTACAAATCACGGATCGACAAAGCTCTTGAAAGATCATTCTTAATCCCCATTCTCTGTCCTCTTCCTAAGCATCTGTCATTGCAGACATTGCCATTGTCACAAGATGAACTCCTGCCTCATATTACAGGGTCATTCTTATGTTTTTGTAGGCTGGGCATTTCACAGAGGACATGTGGAGAAATTAAATAATCTCCTCCTCCAAACAGTGCTAGAGAGGTCTAATCCCTGGATGCAAAGGATGGGGAGGACACAGAGAGAGCCAGACAGCCAAAATAGACCTGCCATGCAACTTTGGCAAGGCTGTTGCTCCATCTGCAAGCCACCATGCATGTCACTACTGCACGAGGTGGCTCTCGGGCTCGTTACTGCAGCCTCGTGCCACAGCCAGCCAGCTGAAATGATGAACACCATTAAACAAACCACAGGTCCTCTCCTCTCTAGAGCTCATGAGGAATTTCTCAACAGCATACTTAGCCTCCAGGGCCAGGGCGAACACTCCGGCTGCTTCAGGGGCGGCTGCAGACGTGCCCGAATGACGCAGGGTGCAGTTGCCATACAAATCTGTTGTAGCCTGCAATGATATTAGATGTAATTAATGAAACCAGCTATCCCATCTTCGTTGCAGCTACAGACTTGGAAAAATACAGAATGTGGAGTTTGTGCCCTTGCTCTTTAATTGTTTGTGCCCATGATCTGTCTTTGTTTTTGGAAGAGTGCATCAATTTAAAACCGCAGTGAGACTCATTTAGAGCATATATTAAAGAGCAAGTTATCACGAAATAAACCAGGGCTCATTATTACTTAAACCACATCTATTTCTTATAAAAACAGTTTAACCAAAAGCCTTAAATTCCTTTCTGATTATCAAAAAGATTTGAAACTAGAATTGTTAACACTATTGAGCTTTTTAACATTTGTCCAACTCTGAGACCAGCAGCAGCACCAGGCTGCTGTCTTCTGTGCAGATTAGTCACTAGCAGAGACCAGAAGAAAACCTTTGAAATGCATTTTATGGCAATAATTACAAAGATGCCACAGATCATTTTAGCTGGTACTATCACAGAGCTGATAAGAAGAGAGAAACCAGAAAGTGTTCTGTCTGCTACTGCATGTGGACATTTAGGATTGCACAATATGTCTTGGGGGGTTTGAGACAGAGCCATGGAAAATGTACAATAGCTTTTGGCAGAAAACTAACCTTGAGTCAGTACAGCTGCATTTTCCACTCTGTAAACTGAATTAAGTCCTGGCTAGTCTGGAGGTGCTGAAGAGCTGAAGAGCAGTGATCACTACAGTGGAAGAGAATCCCAAATACAACTGAACAGAACCTGCCTGTTTTCCAGATGTAGGTAAAGCCCTGCAGCAACAGCAGGCTCTGGTGAACTGAACCCCCATACGTCCTCTGTGGGTGACTAATTCTGCTCTGTGCTGCTTGTACAGCAGAAGTCTGCCAGTACAAGTAAATATTATCTCAGATGTTAACTTAGATTTTTACAGAGACCTTTTGTCACACTGTCCTCCAGAAAGAGGGCAACTGAACTTCATAATCTGGTTTCTGATAAAGGAAAGCACCAACTTTCCTCTGAAGCTCTAAAAGATGTAAGATCATTGCTGTTCTCTGTAAAAAATCCCACATCTTCTCAGCTGACAGTTTTGGCACCATCACATACTGCAAATGAGAAAATATTCATCTCAACGAAGAACCATCTGCTGCTCCAAAGTACACAGAGCTGCAATAGGTCATGCAGATAGACATACATCATGCACAAAGACAGCAACAACAGCACAATAGTATCAGGACTCACCACGCCAGCCTCCGGATTTCTCTTCCTGCCGTTACTAAAGGTGGAGGCTAAGGTTGAAGAGCAGCTTTCATCATACAGAGCTGTCCGTCCATCGTTTATGGCAGAATTGATGGAGATTGTCCACATGCTCGATGCATAGCCATCACAGTTACAGTCATCATAGCTGCCTCCATCTCCAGAGGCCCAGACATAGATGCTGCCTTTTCCACCCCGGCCCTGCGAGAGGGGAAAATCAACCCTCTAGAGTTAAACAGCAAATAGGAGATAGCAGCAACTTAAAACTTCTGAAGTGCTCAGGCCTGAACAACAGGCCCAAGCCAAAGCTGGCTTAGATGAATCCTGAAAATCATGTAACAGATACTGTGTTAGCCATTTAACAGAAGAACCTTGCATAAAGACTGACCAAACCACTTTAACGTGAAACCATCTGCTATAAGAACTTTTACAGAACCTTGCGTAATTATCAGCAAGATATGCTAATAAATGGATCATTTTAAGAAACCTTCCCAGCTGACATCACCAGAGGTTTCTTTACAAGAAACCCCTACCCCCACAGTGGGCTGGGAACTGGCCTGGTCCCAGCTGGTCAGGCAGTGTGCTTTAAAAGCTGGAACCCCCCCATTTGCAGTGGCTTTGGAGACCTCACTTAACGAGTGAACTCACTTCTTGGACCTCCCAATTCCCTGGGAAGTTCTCCAAATCGCCACCACAACACAACCAGCGACTGCAGGCTCTGGATAATGGTAAATACTTGGGCAATTGGTGATGTGTGTCTCTCAATCACGATTCTCCCTCTCCCATATAGTACTAATTAGGTGCATTATCTTGCTTATTTTTTTTGTTGCTGAAGCCAAGCGCACAGTAAGTTTATTGTTTTATTAAATGTATCATTTTGCATCTGTGTTGCCTTAGTAGTAAAATAAGACCATCTTTTATTGGTGTCTGTGTCCCTTAAATTGCCCCCATCAATTGGCAAAACAACTGCACATCTAATTGTAAAGCTGAGCATCTATAAAGGAGAAAACTGGTACAAACTAAACATATATGAACCTTCAGCTGAAATGGACACACCTATGCAGGTTATTAAATCCAGGTAACTGGCAGCCAAAGCCAGCTCTGCAACCCTGTGTACACAGTGCACTTCCATTTATCTCCTGGTTTGCTTCACACCCTGAAGGCAGCTGTGGCAGATGCTAAGACATTTTATGTATGCATTAGCATTTATGTCATGGTCTAAGTGCCATGAAGAAAACTGCTTTTTTAAAAGGTCATCTCACAGGCTGGGTTTTTAAGATTCAGTTAGGTTCAGACAACAGCTAAAAAGCTCTACCAGCACCTTTTACTCTCAAGAAATTTCTTTTTCCAAAGATATGATTGGCTCAGAGATGCTTTTCAGACAAACCAGCTTCTACTTCTAAGGATAAACTAAAGTTATGAGGCCATACAAATAATCTACAGAAAAACAGCCCAGCAGTTATGCTGAGATGGACAGGAGTGACTGAAGCTGAAGGGCCCCTATAAAGGCTTGCCATTAATTAAATGAAAGAAATCCATACCCTCTCCCCAGCTTCCAGAGAGGCAGGCAGTGGGAAGGCATCAACTCAGCCCCTTCTAATTCCATAATCAGAAAGAGGTAGGAGCTGCCTGAAAGAGTCAGACCTGAGAACTCCAACTCTCAAGGAAAGATCAGTGCTATGGAACTCAAAGCTCAGATCTCCAACTGATTCCAGCACAGCCACTATTTCTCTCTGTGTTTAGTTCAAGTAATCCAACATTTACTTCCAAGAGCACCTGAAGTCTGCAAGGCTGGAATTTAACACACTGTTTAGATGCACTGAGCAAAAGATTAAAAAATTTCTTCTGGTCTTCTCATTGCCCAGCATGAAATGGAGGTTAATGAATATACAAACTTAGTAACCTGCAGTGGCATTTTAATAGGGAACCTTTTCAGTCAGGATTTTAAATCAAATCTGAGTTCCCAGCAGTAGCTTCTATTTTTCATTGCACCCCACTGAACAGAGCAACCTCATTATTTCAAGCACGTTAGTGAGTTGCATTATAATCCACTGAATTGCACAGCAGGATTGCTGACACTGGGATATGTAACATCTCAGGACAGAGATTTTCATAATAAAGATAATGACTATGAAAAAGCTCACTGAAATCCATCTAAGAACTTCCACAAAGACTCAGTATCACTCGAGTTTTAAGGGAGGATGATACTGTTGCAAAAATACATACTTTTAAGAACAAAATCATGGTAACAATTTATTTTAAAAAAACAAAAAAAATCACTAGAACAAGAAACGTTTTTTTCTTTGATTTTTTTCCATATCCCATCTTGTTCTCTGACTGCCATTAGTTTACAGGGCCCAAACCTGGTCTTTGGACTGCCTTCAAATCCCAATCTTGCCACCACCATGCCCACTTACACCACCACACCACTTTGCAACCCTCTACCTGCTCTGGACAGCCTCTGTCCCAAAAAAGCAGGTGGCTGTCCAACACAGAAAGCAGGTGGCTGCTGCTGGCAGGAAGAGGATGCTTGTCATGTATGGAGCCATTCTTAAACAATCTCCCTTCTTGTCATTTGAAAGGGGAAGGAAACACTTCAATTTCACGTGAGAAATTCAGTGAAGTGCTAGCAGAAGTTAACCTGTGCTGTGGCCAGCACAGAGAAAAAGACTCAGCCCTGCTCAGCAGGACTGCTCTGTGTTGCCAAGTGTTTTACCCCACAGATTTGTGGGATTTGTGGCAGAATGGCAGAAAATGCACGTAACAGATTGTTAGTCTGAAGGAAGGGGAATTCACAGAGGAACTGAAACTCTGGGATGGGTTTTATGCCTGCAATTACTGTTACTTGAGAATGGCCTCAGGATATCGCTTTCATGGGAGTCGCATTACAAGTGGGTCTTAGTGTTAAAACCTGTAATTAATCTCTTAATACTCCAATTTCAATTGCCTTTCCTTCCTAGCCAGGACTGGAAAGATGAGCAAACACTGCTGGAATAAACTGACAGCAGCCCAACTGTGTTATCTGCAATGATGCTGAGGACTTGTTGCTTACATGTCCCACAGCCAGACCCCACAGTGGGACTGCCTGCACAGGCAAACTGCTTAGTGGCTGTTCTCAGGCATCATGTCAGGAAGAAATACACAGCTTCAGGAGAAGTGCATTTTCAATTCTCTGGATGGCAGAGAAACAGATAATTAAATTTTAAAAATTAATAAAATAATAATAAAATAATTTTAAGTAATAAAACTGATCTAGTCCTGATCTAGTGGGTGGCATCCCTGCTCATGGCACAGCAGGGGGTTAGAGCTAGATGGCCTTTAAGGTCCCTTCCTACTCAAGCCACTCCATAATTCTATGATAAAGCAGAAAAAGAATCCAGCTGGGTTAACTAAACATGATATTTAAAGCGATCTGAAAGCTCCAATTTGCATCTCAATCTTATGTAAACCTGAAAAATGTTACTAGTGGGACTCAGGCTGCTGTACATTTGGAACAAAATCGGGATTGAAGCAGGTAGTAACATACACTATAACCACCAGAGGGAGCGTGAAGGAAGAGTCAGGAAGAACACAGCACCAGCAAGATTGTAAAATACATTTTAAAGTGTATCTTTCCTCCAGAATCCTGAAGAAACCTGCTCATTTCCTCCAAAAATGATGCACAGGCTGGCATTCCCCCTTCTGAGCCATCTGAAGATATATCTCACTCAGAGCTGAAAATGGATCTTGGTGCATTTAGTACCAGCCCAAGAGAGGCCCAGTTCTCAATTCAAGTCAAACCAGAATTAAATTTTGAGCAAGGCTATATGTTTAGTAATGCACAGACAGTTCCTGTGAAGCTCCCTTTGAGAAAACAGCAGGTTTTCTATTCCCACTGTCCTCAGTGGGAAGCTGCACTACGAGGAAAAAATCCCTGAGAGATATTCTTACCCCTTTTCTCATCTTCCACAAGTGCACAGTCCCAGAGAGATGTCTTTACTGAACTACCATGCAGAAGTGAGCTGGCAGAAGACTTCAGCCTTTCTCACTTTATGTAACTTCAGGCATATCTGAAACTATGCTTTTCCCCCTTGTTTTCTTCATTCATCATGCCTGCTGGGCTAGTACCTGAGCCAGTGTTTCCTGAAGCTTTGACTGGAACACACCTTCCAGAGAAAAATGTGTATATTTGACAAATAAATCTCCTCCAGCTTCCCTGACCTTTCTCATCAAGGCTGGCAAGTTCCCATGAGTAACAGTCCAGCCTCTAACTCAGCAAGGCCCCTGCAATGGATCCTCCAGTTTTCCCAATGTCACCCAGCCTGATGAGGGATGGAAGGAACCTAACAGTCTTCAGAGCATATTTTTCATATGGACTAGTGCTTCAGCTGTAGATCAGGAATAAGATTCCAACCAATACAAATTAAAAACAAAGAACAGGCTCCTGCCCTGAAAAGCAAAGTAACAGGGAAGGACAGAATCAGTGATGCCTTTTCCTGGTCTTAAAAAATTAAGACCCACAGTTAAGAGATAAGGGGTTTTACCTCAGTATTTAAAAAAGGATCCTTATTAAAATACTGAGGTAAAAACCCCCTTATCCCTTAACCATGTCTGGCTCTCAATTTTTAAGACCAGGAAAAGGCATCATCAGGACACGAGGAGGCAGGTAGGAGTGGGGTAAGAAGAAAAGAAAGCAGCACCTGACTGTGAGGAGGTATTTTTTTAGGTGCAGTGAAAAGGTAATTCAGGATAAGGATAGCTAAATGGTCTGCTGATGTTTGTGGACTGTTTCATTCCTATGGAAGCAAATGCAGATGAGGAACATTTGAAAAAAATGTGAAAAAATTATAGAACTGAAAATTTCTTTATGGAACAAATTCAAAGCACAAATTGTTGTATAAGCATCTTTCTTTCTGCTTGACATATGATAGCTGTTTTGTAATTCTTCCTCCTAAGAAAACAGAAGTGTTTCAGCACTTTCTATATAATTTAATAGCAATTTGTGTGCCTGCTATGTCAAGAGATAAACTGGTTTTCCAGGAAAAGCAAAAAACACTACAGTTTCTTCTCATCTTTTTTCAGGGGTCCTACTGAGTTATGAGCAGGACACAGTTTCTGTCCTCTATTAATTTGACTACATTTTCCTCTGAAAAGAGGATTCCTTTCTCTTCTTGACTGAATTATTTGAAAATCCTCACACATTTTGTAATTAAAACCCACAT